GCAGTGACTGTCTATAATTCTACTGTTATGGGACCTGTCCTGAAGCACATAAGCACAGAGCACACCACCGTTTTCCTTATGGCAGGGGTGGGCAACTCCATTCCTCAAGGGCCAGTGTCCTGCAGGTTCTAGATATCACCCTGGGTTAACAGGGTTAACCTGAATCACCTGAATTATTTTATTACCAGGCCTCTGGAGAACTTCAAGACGTGTTGAGGAGGTAATTTAGCCATTTAAATCAGCTGTGTTGGACCAAGGACACATCTAGAACCTGCAGGACATCTAAAACCTGCAGGACTCCAGGACACTTAATTTCTGTAATATTCTGGATATTTATAATTGAGCTATTTGTATATATTAAAGCAATTTCTTACATTTTGTAACTTTGTAATATATTTGCTTAATTTAAATTAGTTCGGTCTGTTACTGTTCTTAATGTCTTGGAGCTTGTGTAACCTTACTTAGGGAATAGTAAACCTGCTGTTACTATTGACTTTGGCCGCTCATGTTAAATCTCTGGTCCACTCCTGTTTTTATCACTTGAGAAACATTGCTAAGCTGAGTTCCATTGTATTGCGCTCCGAATTAGAAATTGTCATTCATGCATTTGTTTCACCTCGTCTGGATTATTATAATTCTTTATTTACTTGTTTATGTAAAGCCTCTTTGAAACATCTGCAAGTTGTTCAGAACGCTGCTGCAACGCTTCTGACCAATGTTCCCTCTAATTTTTCACGTGTCTGAGCGAACACACAAACTCCCTCAGTGGTCCCTTTGACCACTGTGAGCAACATCAGACATGTGCACTGTGTACAGAGTACAGAGAGACATAGAGAGAGAGCTAGCTGTGCATGAAGTGTGACTTTAATAGTCGTGGAAGCAAAACAGCAAAATTCATGACGACATTGATCAAATGTGAAGCGCAGTTTGCTGCTTCTTTTGCTGCTGGCTCAGTGAATTTTGGTTGGAGAGAGACAAAACCTGCAGCTCAGAATCAGCGCAAAAAGACGTAAACACAGCGCGGACCGCACGCATCACAACCGCTAAGCTCCGACAGCGTGTCCGTCTACGGGCCATCGGGTGAGAAAGCCGAGAAAGACAAAGTTGATTCTGATGCGTCGGGTCCGCTCTGTGTTTACGTCTTTGTGTGGAATCCGTGTACCTGCTCTCATTTGCTGGTTGGTGGTAGGGCTGGGCGATATATCGAGTTTTTTTTAAATATCGATATATTTTCATACGAGATATAAGATGTGACAATATCGTTTATATCGATATAGTCTATGTTACGTTATAATTATACTTGTGGAGCCGCAGGTTTGCCTCTCTTTCGTCCACTTTTGTCTCTACGCAACGCTACTCGGCCTCGCCTCTCCTTCACTGAACACAACTCCCCCTCCCCCATAGCTTCACCTGCAGGCAATGACAAGATGAAAGTGGAAAATCTCCATTAGCAAGTTACCGTGCGTGGGGCTGGACGGCGTCAACGTGTTAGCGAGCTAACCACGCTAAAGACATGCAGCCCGGAGGGGCTGCACGGCCTAAAATCCTTTCATTTTCTCAAAAATCGACAGTGCGCCTTATGTATGAATTCTGGTTGTGCTTACTGACCGCGAACCGATTTTATGTGGTACACAGCGCTCAGCAATCTGTCAAAAAATGTTTTAATATGACTTTGCTAAGCTACGGAGCTGCACCACTTGATGGATTGTCGGAGGATTACGGCTACCGAGGAGGAGCCTCGCGGAGTGATACGTACTGTGTGTGTATAAGGACCACAAACGGCACCTGTTCAGAGACGTGGTGCAGCTGTGAAATCTGTCTCTTTGTTATTATGCTCAGCGTCTATTAGTTTACATTTTGACTGCACAATTGTGAGCTTTTTGTTATGCACAAAAACAACATTGTTTTCTTTTATTTATGGACCATGATTATTTAATTAATGCTGATAATTTATTTTTGAGTAATTTCTTCATGTACATCTACGCTGTATGTAAATAAAAGTGCCCATGTGACATCTGGGACACAGTGTGACTAGGAACTCTCTTTTTGTTCTTAACTTATGGCTTTAAAAAACAAAAATCGAGATATATATCTTATATCGCCATCCAGCTAAAAAATATCGAGATATGAATTTTGGGTCATATCGCCCAGCCCTAGTTGGTGGTTGTTGAAATGGTTTTGTGAGCTTTAATCTGAGAATCTGGCATTTCTGGCAAAACACAGTTATATTTAAAAGTCGATTCAGGATTTAATGAATTGATATCGCTTTATTCAAGCTACTCACCTCCCACTTCCACCTGCACTTTCAACTGGACCACGGCCAATCAGAGAGGTCCCGCCCCTTACTATCTCTGATTGGTTTAGTCCACGATAGGGGCATAATGTGTGTCTGTTGTTGACCACAGGGAAGGTTGCATATTTATTTATTTTTTTGCTACCCGAACAGTTGGTCGCACAGGTGCAACCAAATATTTTTTTTTAGTCGCACCACTGAAAAATTTGGTCGCATTTGCGACCAAATTGGTTGCACTCTAGAGCCCTGCCGAGACTGTCCAAGCCGGGGCTCGAACCGGCAACCATACAATCGTATGAGTATGAGTCTGTGGTCTGGGAGAGAGTCTGTAACTCTCTGTCTGCAAAACACAGTATATAATGACCAATTTTGGGCAATTAATTATATAGTTACTTCTTCAAAAAAGTAACTGGCAAATAAAGTTTTTTGCAGCTATTTTTTTAAACGCAGCCAATACGTTTTTAAATAAACATTTCAAACTATTTACAGAACAATCAGCTGTTCTGCATCAAATCTTATGCCACACAAATTATTTGTGCCACTCCAAAAAATATTTCTGTCCACTATGAGATAAAGGAGAACAACAGCCTGATACCTGCAGGCCTGACAACAGGAGATGTATCACTGCTGTAACACCTGTAACATTCAGAAATTGCCTCATTGTTCTGACACACACAACAAAACTATTGACTACACTACACACTGACTACACAAGATTTGCACTAAACGTCTCAAATCTCTCACATCTCAAAACACGCCGTCACTCCTAAAACTTCCCCCCGTTTCTTAACAACTAGATGCCACGTCACCATATAATTTTTTGATTTGTTGACATGGTACTTTTTTTGGACCAATAGGAAAGGTGGGGGGTGGGGTTTGTTTTTGCTCACAGGCTTTCGAGTCTTTTTTCTTATAAAACGCCGTTTTTACCATTTCTTCCTGCAGTAAATATAAACAACGACAGTATTCAGGAAGAAAACCAAACATTGCATATTTTTATCACAACTCTGGTTTTATGTGGCCGATCAACACAATTTAAAAGTTGGTATAAAGTCCACACTTTTTCTGTCAATTGTTACGTCTGTCCTGCTCACATCTCCAGTGGTTGTACACGTTGTCATTAACGTGGCTTCACTCCACATCAGCCACGCCGCTTTGCTAGCTAAAACACCGGTGTCGGCACATAAGGACGCTGTCATAGCCTGTCAATGCTGTTGATTCGCTGTGTATATACGCATCGGCTGAACTATGGGATAAGGTGGCATCATTCTAATCGCATATGGGAGCAGCCAGTCACTTACTGACTAACACTGCAAAACATGATTGTTGAAGTATTAATTTTAATTTCAATTCAGGTTAGATTTTTTTTGTGCGCAACGTAGATTTTCTGTGCGCAGAAACCGTGCCAACAGTGCGCAATTGCGCACGTGCGCAGCTTAGAGGGAAAATTGGACCAAGTCCTCCAAGTACTCCCATGTCACACCCCTGCTGATCCAGCTGCACTGGCTCCCTACTAAATTCAGAATCCACTTAAAGGTTTTGACCTTGACTTTTAGGGCTCTGCATGGACAAGCACCACCATATATCAGTGAACTTTTACATCCATACATTCCCAGCAGGTCCCTGAGGTCATGTAATCAGGGCTTACTGGTTGTCCAACACACGAGGCTGAAAACAAAAGGCGACAGAGCTTTGGCAACTGTGGCCCCCAGCCTGTGGAACTCTCTCCCTGTGAGCCTGAGATCTGTGGACTCAGTGGTCGCTTTTAAAAAACAGCTAAAAACTCATCGTTTTAAACTTGCGTTTGGTTGATTTTTATTTTTATGTTTTAGCTTGTGTGAAGCACTTTGTGATTTTTATCTTGAAAGGTGCTATATAAATCACATTTTACTTACTTACATACTTTAAAGTATTCTGATTAAGATTCTTCTCTGGAATAGGAGTGTGACAACTGATTTTTCCTCAAATCTATTATCAAGTTCTTGCTGTTTTTGCTTTTTTATAGGACAAGTATATATTTTCTCTGATTTTAATCTAATTAATTAGGTGCTTCCAAAAGTCTTCCTTTGTTTAAAAGGCTTTGGGATGGCCTGTTGGTCTGTGTTTAAATCCATTCAGTAGTGGCTGTAGCAGTAACTGATATAATCCTCCTGTTGTGTTAATTCCTCCAATATATTAGATATAGGAGATTATAGACAAACTCCAGTATTTACTTGTCAAAAATTACATATAGTTTAGTTTTCTCTCAGTGCCTCGATGAATCTCCTCCTCAGAGTAACATCTTAGGATGCCTCTGATCCAATGTGGAGCAAACGTCCAAAACGAAAAGCTGCACCTCCACAGAGCCCCTGGAAGTCTTGGAAAGTGGCAGTTTTCTTTACATTATCTTTTCGAAGGACTTTACTATCTAATTTGTGAGGTCACAGTGCCTGTCACCATCTTTCATATACAGTCTATGGATTAAGTAGCTTTGTTTTTGCTTGTTGTTGTATTTTCACTTATTCTTCGTTGTTATTGTTTTTAAACTGAATACCGTTATTATTTGTGTGAAGAGAGCTTTCGCTATGTAGCTCATGGCTAAGGCTAATGGTGCTTAGTTGTCATAGTTGAGGTAGTTTGATAGCTAATTTGTCAGTGGATTCCATCAGGTTCCCGTCCCGTCCCTCGCCGCTTTGTACGTAATGACGCAGGAGAGCGTCATGGACGGCGTACACTGCGTGACGCGTCAAATCTTCCAACTCAACCGCCGCTTCCTGGCCGGCCCAGGCAGCCGCCTCAGGCCCCGCTCCTCACTGAACCGCTATCCGCTTATTATTGTTATCACACCGACTGAAGAGAGCTCCGCTCCGGCTGCGTGGAGCTGCCGCCGGGATGAGTGGACGGAAAGGCTAAAATTTGCACATCCTCCGCAGAAGTCTCGCCGCTTGGTTAGTGTTTGACTTCTTTTTATTTGTTTGGGTAGTTAAAGGCTTGCAGGGAACTGATTTTTTGTATTTGTCTTCCTCCAATAAGAAACGTTACTGTAAAACTCTAATGGCAGCTAACTCCACGGAGAAGCTCTAATCTGCTTATCACAAGTTTATTGTCGCAGGAGCTGAGCGCTGCCGGTTTCTGTTTTTATTTTTTGTGTGTGCACGGATATCATCTGCTGCCACTCATTGGATCAACTCTCACAGCCCCATTTTCCTGTCCTTTCACACCCAGCAACATGAACACACAGTGGTACACTCACACATTTATCAGTCTCAATGAAGAAGCTGGAAACCTTCATTACATTTGTTTTAAAGGAGTTTAGATACATATGATGATGGGATTTTTGAGTGGTTGGTTTATTGGCTCTTAGTAATAAAATTGGGAATTTGTTATTTCATTTCATGTTTCCAAATATTATTTTTTCCATATATATGGATTTATATGTCCGTATATAGGCTTTATTATATGCTTGTCTATAATAAGAATAATAAGTCTAATAAAATGAGTGGTGTGCATTAATCTTGCTATTGTTAAAGCAGCGTGGGGCTAAGCGAGGTGCAGCCTGAGGAGCAGCTGCTGTGGTGATGGTGTTGGACTTGGGCGCAGTCTTCATGGATCGGGTCGAGGGTGAAAGAAGTGCTGGGGACCTGTTGAAAACAGACGCTCGAGAAGATCCACCCAAAGCTGTTAAAAGGTGCGGCGTCACAAAAAGGGAGACGGTGTCACACAACGGGCTCGCAGCCCCGACGAGCTGCAGCAGCCAGGTAGTACAGAGAAGATCATCAACATCATCGTCATCAAAATGCGGGACTGCATCCAGAACGCCACTCCGGAGGCCCCTCAGCCTGGAGGTGACATCCCAGCGCATGAGAGGGTCTCAGGAGCAGATGGTGGACCGGAGGATCCTACAGCCTCCTTGGCGCAGTGGTACGGCTGCCCCCTCCCCCCCGGCTCGTAGCCTGACCAGCCCCAGCCTGGGAGTGAGTGGCTGGATGCGCCGTAGTGAAAGCACCTGCTCTGTGAACTACTCCCTGGGGCTGCGGGGCAGTAAGGGGCAAATGCGACCAGCCACCTCCCTCCCGCATATTGCTAAAGGAGTGGGTGGTTCAACACTCCCTACAGCCACCAGGCCCTGCCTGCTCGTTGCCCTCAGACCTCTAAACTTGGAGCAGGAGAAGCAGGCTTTCTTCCAGTCTGACTACAAGTATGAGCCTCAGTTTGAGTATGCGCAGCCTGAGCCCAGGAGCGTGCTGGACAAGTACAGAGAAGGCTCGGGTCTCTTTCTTGAACAGGTGTGTCACATTCAACCAGTCTAACAGTCAGCTCTGAGCTCATGAGATCATGAGGATGATGATAATGATGATGATGTGTTTAACTGCAGGCAGTTGGGATCATGGAGTGCGTCCTGAGGAAGTTTGGCTCCTATGAGAACTTTGAGGAGGTGACTGGTGGCAGCGTTCTGCCTAAAAGTCAGGTGTGGGCTGCTGTGCGCAAATACCTGCAGAAAGAGGGCTGTGTGGGGGAGGTGAGTGCAGTAGCCAGATTTCAGTATATCTCTGCAGGAAAGACTATATTGTGTCCATTGGCTGAATGCTGTAAATGGCAGTAAACCTACATCTACAGGATTACTTGAACCCTGTGACTGATTTAGCTGAATGACTTTCCACAAAGCAGCCGATGAGCAAAATCTGATGATTTTGTGTGCGTGTTTGTGTCTCCAGGTTGTTGTGCGTCTATCTGAAGAGCTGCTGTCTCAGGCTGTGATGGTGGTGGAAAGCTGTCGTCCTACTCTGACTATTAACCTATCTGGGGCTCGACAGCACTGGCTGGAGGGAATGCTGAGACATGAGATCGGTAAGCAGATAATAATACGCAAGCTTGGTAGGAGTCCTTCCACATGGTTTCTATTCCCCATAGCAGTTGTGACACAAAGAGGTAATTGATTATTATTATTGTTATTGTTAATATGGCTGACATCATTTATGGTTTATAACAGTGGTCCCCAAATCCCGAGCCATGGAAATGTACCGAGTCTCTGAGTAGTTTGGTACCTACCGGTCCGCGAGAGTTGAGGCTCGGGTGTGAAATTTATGGTTTTCAAACTTTTCATGTTTTTTATCGTTAACTCGGTTTCCCCGGGTCTTTCCCGTGTTGTAGCTGTGCATCTTATTTTGAAAGAAATATTTATGCGTTACCATAGCGACCGGAGAGCATTAAGGGGCAGAGAGGAGGATGTTACTCTCAATGTTGTTGTCAGGAGGACGCTGCTAATAAAGTTACACATTTACACAGTGAATTCATGTTTATTATTATATTTACAAACTACCACAAGTTTTTGTCTCGGTCGTATTATTTTATTTTGCTGTATTTATCCGCCACACCGGTCCGTGGCACAAAAAAGGTTGGGGACCGCTGGTTTATTATAAGCTCTAGTCAAATGATTTGATTGAGCTTGAGTTGCAGCTCCCAGAGCAGAAAAATGAAGACTGTTCTAACGTGTCAGAAACTGCCACCAGAGCCTAGCCACGAAAGTGAGTCGGTCCTTAAAGACTCCTGTGTTAAAATACCCAGCCTTACAGCAGAATTAAACATGTGTACACCAATCTATATTTTGGTGTTTATAACAAATTTTCAACTTCATGACAACAGCACGGGGCTGGCGGTGTCAGAATGGTAGACAACAAACTGACAAATGGTGTCATGCTGGCTATACTTTAATAAATGTCTGTGGTTGAATCAGCAGTCAGTTGCTAAACTTCAAGTGGCCTTGAGGTTTCCATTGATGAAGAATGGACCCACTATCGTTGTTCCCCATATACCACACCAAACCATCACTTTTGTTGTTCCAACAGTCTTGGAGGGATCCATCCAATGTGGGTTAGTGTCAGACCAATAGCGGTGGTTTTGTTGGTTAACTTCACCATTCACATAAAAGTTTGCCTCATCACTGAACAAAATCTTCTGCGTGAACTGAGGGTCCTGTTCCAATTTTTGTTTTGCCCATTCTGCAAATTCTGTGCGCCGACAGTTTTCTTGCGTCCACATTTTGGCAAATCCAACACTGAACCAGTTTCACGAAACTTAGCAAGCAGTTTGCTAACTGTAGCATGGGAGATGGGTGGTCTCGTAGGGTGTCTTGCATTGAAATCTGCTGCAATGACCCGGTTACTGCGTTCACCAGATATCAACACAATTTCGATCCGCTCCTCACGTGTTAACCTCTTCGACATGTCAATGGCTGTGAACAAAGAGAAACTTGTAAATAACTCATGAAAGAATAAAGTTGCGTTGGAACCAAGCACACCAATGTTTTTCTTGTGACATTACCAATAAGTGTGATGTGTCACATGGCCCTCTTCCTATTGAAAAAAACAAAAGTTGTATCCAAGATGGCTGACTTCTAAATGGCCACCATGGTCACCACCCATCTTGAGGAGTTTGCCCCCTCACATATACTAATGTGCCACAAACAGGACTTTAATATCACCAACCATTCCCATGTTGTTACGGTGTATCCATATAAATAGCCCACCCTGTATATGTATACAAGTGTGCACATAGCACTGCAGCAGACTGCTGAGGATCTGATTGTTAATAAAGTTGTATGTTCTCTATGTCAAATAAAGTTTGAATTGATGGAGCCTGTGATATTGGGAGTTACAGTGTGCCTGCTCTAAACCCACCCATGTCTGTTCAGAGATTTCCTGCTGTTATGAGAATCTGTTCTTCTCACCGGTCTGCACCTTCGTGCTGATTCCTGAAAGAACCAGATTTTTGCCAGATTACAAATTAATCTGCGGGAGAGTTCAGTGTAATGCCCTCATCAGCCCTGGGCTAAAAAAACTGTTACTGTATGCCAGTTAGCATGCTGATAGCATTTGGGTCAAACCACAGTGGTACATCTGACAGAGTGGTTTTTAGATATGTGTTTTATCAAACTACAGTGTGAAGCATGTGCAGACAGCATGGAGGGGCAGCAAAGTGACTGCAGCCGCTTTCCTTCCTCTCAGGCACACATTATCTGCGAGGTGTAAACAACAGCGTGCAGCCATGGGCCACCGCCGAAGGCAGGAAGCAGTTTGGACTTAAACCAGCTAATCCCACAGAGGAGGGCCTGGCCAGCCTGCACAGTGTGCTGCTACGGAAACAGCCCTACCTGTGGCGCGCGGCTCTGCTCTACTACACAGTGTACCACGCCACCAGCATGAGCTTCAGCCAGCTCTTCAGCCACATAGCACGGTTCGTCCAGGACCCGGACGTCCGCTGGGAGTACTGCCTGCGAGCCAAGAGGGGACAGACGGACACCTCGCAGCCCGGTGAGCGTGCACGCACAAACACACACAAAAAACATGCAAAATTAATAGACTTGGCATTTTCCTAGGCAAAACCTATAAGATTGAATGCAATGAAATGTAACAGTATCGGGTTAGGATTTCATGCAGTGATTAACTTTGACTATTTAGGATTTTTTTTCTTCTATAATGAGTCGCTCCTGAGTGGGGAAAAAGTCTAAAATAACCTTTAATATAATAAATAATATGAACACCCAAACATAAAGCCTGTAATCCAAAAAATGAACCCAGCGAAAAACTGTGAAAACGTGTTTTCATGATGTTTGTCATATTGAAATGTTTCAGATGATCAAACAAATTTAAATATTAGACAAAGATAACACAAATAAACACAAATTACAACATCAAGTAACTATGGTGTATCGCATGTAATCGAGTTCAGTTTCCCAGCCACACCCAGGCCTGATTATCGCCACACCTGTTCACAAACAAGCCCGGCTATAAAAGGTTATAAAGCCACGTCTAAAGCTGCCAGATAACATTCTGGTGATCCCCGAGATTTTTGGGAAAATACTCTGTAGACTGATGAGACAAAAGCATGAATTTTGCTGTTTGCCAAAAAATACTCGTAAATACTCTAGGACAGGGGTGTCAAACTCAAATACACAGTGGGCCAAA